TTAAACAATTAACAAAATACCCATGATATGAGACGAAGAGACATTCACATCGCTTAGCAGTAGAAGCCAGATACTCGATTGCAATATATTTAGAGTCAAACTTCAGCCTTTCCGGAAACTGCTGCGGGTGGAGCAGTTTGATGGAATCCTGATTTACCCAATCAGAAGCAGAGTAACTTATGCTGCGAAGGGAAGTCCCTGTGTGCTAGAGAGGAGTGGTTGCCGGAACAGTAAAAGCAGCTCAGTTCAAACATTGCCCGGGGAAGCTCATCCTCCAATTTCTGAACAGTCCAAACTAAGGATGTTAAATTGCAGTTATCAGGCTAATCAATACAAATTGTGTCAACTACACGATTAGTCGATAAGGATCACTCTGCAGAGCTGCAGTGGGGGTAGCCCTAGGAGCCAGCTCGAGCCACCCACACTGTGGCTCTGCATTTGAAATGTAGTAAGAGCTGCCGGACTCTTGCTACATTTAAGATGCATAGGCACATCATCCAGGACCAACTGGAGCTGGGACTGCTAGGTCCCAGCTCATGCTGAGTCCAGCAGCTCCTGTTTGCGGCTCAGCCTGAATGCGGGGGAACAGCAGTACCGGGGGGACGATACTGGGGGGAGAACCAGCTTTTAAACTGGCTTCCCCTAGCATCTTCCCAATCCCTCCCCTTGCTCTGTCTCAGAGGCAGCAGAGGGGGAGAAGCAAGTAGTCAATTCTCCAGTCGACTACTTGCTTACATCCCTAGTCCAAACATGCCACTTCACGGCAGAGGCAGCTAACTATGCAAGACTCACAAATGTTAGAGAAAAGAAACTGCCCCCCCAGTAAAAAAGTTTGGCCAGGCCGCTCTTGACTCCTTGAGAGAAACCGGCCGCACCCTTCTTGTATACCATTGCCTTTAGAAAAGGGGAAGGTGTGAAAAGGGGAAAATAGCCTCAGACTCTCCCACCCATCACCTTGGCGTGACAACTGTGGGGCTTACCTGGTCTCATGAAACCTGCACAGTTTCGGCCCTACCCCTGGGACACTTGGTGACCATTGGGCCATATATGGTAATATGCAAGCACAGGAGAGCGATGTGCAGATTTGGGGATAAATACCCAGCACACAGTTCGCTCTAGGAGGTCTTCGCAACACACGTACCACCATGCGTGTGCCTTCTCGTATACTTCAAAGCGCTGCTGGCTTAATCAACTGACCAGCCTCCTCCCCCGACTCTCGGGCATAACCAAGGCCTTCTCAACCAAACCAATATCTGTGAAATGTTCCATGCGCTGTGTAAGTTGGTATGTATGATTTGATTTTTTTCTTGTTGTATAAGCTTAGTGTTGTAGTTGTTTTTGGGTAGTACATAGAGTTTGTAGTTATCACTGTTATTTAATTACTGTGGCTGGATATTTTAAGATTAGAGATTATTCCCTTTGCCATTCCCATCCTTATATCTCCGACACGTTTAACTAGAAATCGTAGAATATAATAATTACTGTAAATTCATTATTAACACAGTCTATTAAAAATCTTAGAATAAATACTATAAATTCACCACTGTCATAAATAAATATTTTTTATTTGATAAAACTGTCCACCTGGTTCTTTCCCTCCCCCCTTGGGTATTCATCATCGGACCTGTGATTCTCGCGACAACAAACTGGGCTGTGAACATTTCCTACAGACTTGTGAGTAGTAGCTAATAGCTGCCACTGTTCAGGGGAAGCTTAGGGGTCTGAGAATTGGACTTCGAGCTTCTAGTCTCCCCTGGAAGAGTCATGTCTGTTCCTGTAAGAGAAGCTCAGCGCTATATCATTCAGAGATACAAAAGTTGAGCTCCATTCGGTTTGTTCTGGGTGTAGTTTTTAAGAGGAGACCCTCAATCCTGTGGTCTATTTTGTAACCAAGTGTCTAACCAAAGCTTCTCCTTAAAATAAGGGATCCTTCAGAAAAGGCTTTATTTTCCAAAAGATCCGCGTCTAGACTGGCGCTTTTTTCCGGCAAAGCTCTGAGCCGGAAAAAAGAAGCATCCATTTTTATACTAATGAAGCGGGGGAGATTTAAATCCCCGCTTCATTTGCAATTGAGATATGTCTAATTTGTATCCCTTTTACGGAAAAGGGATGCAGTCTAAACACAGCCATACTGTCTCTCAATCCTCCCATCATTTCTATGCCTACCCAGTTCCTGCCCACCCCCCACCCCACACTGTGTTCAGCTCCCCATCAGCTCTCAGCAGAGCCCCTTTCACGTGGGAGAGGAAGGAGCAGATGTAACCTTCTGTCCCCACTACTCACAGGAGGGGAGGGACAAGGAGAGAACAGAGCCCAGCTGAGCTGCAGAACTTTTTGGTGCCTTCTCCTCTCCCCTCTCCCCTGTCCTGTGCAAATACATGTGGAGGGGGAGAGACTGCAGTAGGGCTGAACATCACAAGTGTGCTGGAGTTTCTCAACATGCAGCGCAAGCTGGACTCCAGCTGGCCCTGGAAACCTCATCACTTGAGAAAAATAGTGGAAAATGAGAGTTAGCAATGGTGGGACACCAATAATACTGAGAATTAACCATGCAGACAAAGAGGAATGTTGACCTGAGGAAAAGAAACCCAGCATGAATGGGGAAAGTGGTGCCTGGGACAAATCAAAGATCAACATGCAGTGCACAGAACATTTTATGAGCTTCTGAGGGACTATTACAGAGTCAAATAGTCAACATAAAAGGTTTTTCAAGTAAGCTATGGCGTCCTTTCTGATCTGTCACTCAAACAAGGAGTGCAAACATCCTTGGCTGCAAGTGACTTCTCAGTGAAAGGGCCTTTAGTTACATTGCTCCGGTGACACAGTGCAAAACTGGTGCTCCTAAATGCAAGACAGAGCAACAATACTAGCCAGACATAGGTATAGTGCAAGTCTTGTTCAGGCATCTTTCCCCACTCGGCAAATACACCTCCATCCGTTCCTGCAGAACCCCCTGGTCTAATCTAGTCCAGTCCATCTGTGCTCAGGAAGACACCCAAATAAGGCACTGGATTTGTGGATTTGTGCAGGAAAATAAAATCCATGAACAACTAAGATGTGGCCAGTGCACTTAAGCTTGTGGACATGACTGGGCGTGGGAGGGAGGGGTATATAAACCCCTGAAGGAGAAAAAACCCACACCCCATCCCAAAGAGCTGTCTTTGAATGAGTAACAGCTTTTAAATGAACACAGGCATACAACTGACCAACTCTTGTGCTTAAAAAAGGACAGAAATAGAATGCAACTAATGCGTATCAGAGTTGTGGCAATTCAGAAATGGTCCTTTACTACCTCCACCGCTTACCACATGTATAATGCTGTTTTGAAGCAGGTACTTCTGCATCAATGGACTGAAATTCAGTTCAGAGATATTAACTACTCTGCCAAATTCTCTTGTATTTAGTCATTTTCAGCCTCAACAAGGTTTCTAGGAAGAGTCCCAACACTCCACAAGGGAAGAGAAACCCATATGAAATGCTCCTAAACCTCAAGGCATAGGACTGGCACTACATCAAGGATAGAAAAAAAATGCAAGAAAGGATGACCCATCTCGTTAATGGCCTAACAGAATCTGGATTATAGCAGAGTTATTTAGTGCTCCATGATACACTGTATGCAAAACCTCCTAGCCTTCATGCAAAGCAGAAAAAGAGTCTTAAAATAGAACTCACTCATTTTTATACACAAGCCCTTCAAGGACATTTTTCCTTCATTCCTTACAACACTGTTAGTCCTGTTTAGTCTGTCAGCCTCATCAGAATGGCATGCAAGGAGTGAATGTCTAGTGTTGTTACAGAAAGAAAAGTAAACTTAATAACTAAACAGACTGAAGATGAGTATTATATCTGCACCAAATAAACAGGACTCCAATCTCTTCTACTCTGATGCAGCCAATCTGGATCATGCGATTTGCTGAGCTCTGCCAATATTTTTGGATGGTGCATGCAAGAGGCAGATTACTAAAAGGGAAGGAGGATGGAATTTCTCTCAAACTAGATTTGGGAGTCTCAGTCAAATTTAAGGGATGCAGATTTCTTTCAAGGCTGAAAAAATCCTGTGCAGCTAGAACAGGACAAATTTCCACCACCTTGCTTCATTCAAAAAATCCCTTAAAGTTATCAGGAAAAGCAGACAGGTACAAAATTAGACCAACAGAGAAAAAGACCAGTTAGATCCTCAAGTCCATTCCCCTTGCCAATATTCAATA